GATAGACGTATTTTCTACCAAAAGTTTCAATTGGTTTTCCATTTGCAGCCTGTAAGTTGAAGGTAGGTTCCTTCTGTCGATCTGCTGCTGTAGCAGGAAGGACGCTGACTTCGGCGCCTGTGTCGACTAGATATCTAGTCTGGCTCATTACATCATGGATGTAAAGTAAGCGGCTAGTGCCACCGGCGACGGTTGCCGCTAACGCGTGCCGGCGGGATAGTTTCCCAAGGACTTTGAGGCTTTGCCGAAATTACAAGATTTTCGACAACATTTCGCTTCCTGGCCATAGGTGTTGTGATACCAACACCAGCCAGGATTTTTGAGAGAACGTGGGTTGGACTTAGAACGACGGTAGGAGGAATTGCTAGGCATTTTGACCTAAGCATCTGCTGGATGGAGTTGCATAACTCTATCATTTCAGTATCCTTACTCGATGTCGGTTTGGTAACTGAGCATATTTCGGTAACCGGCCGTTCAGTTATCTCTAGAATTTTATCTGCAGAGACAGCTAAGTCATCCGGAAGAACACCCTGAAGTGTCACAAGTACAGTCTGAACTGACTGTGGCAGTTTGGATACAAAGAGTTCTCTAAACAGTCCTTCGTCGAACTGACTTTGGCCAATAATCTCTCTCATTCTCGCCAGCATGCTCATGGCTGACTAATGCCCTAACTCGACGTTATGAAATAATTCATCCAGACGCTGTCGATCCATGAGAATGTTTCTCTTGAGGAGGGATGCTTTGAGCAACTCGTACGAGTTACTTACCTCTGGACTCGACATCTGTACGGTTACGCACTTGCTGAATTCCCGCCGTAGGGCGTGAACAACTGCGAAGAACTGTGAACGTTGATCGGTTATGCCATGCTCACCAAAATCAGACTCAGCAATCTGAAGCCACGTTTCAGCATTATCTGGCCAATATGGTACTAGCTGGATTGTTTTGGCGGTTGAGCGAATCTGAATAACCTTGGGGCTAGGATCACTCATGACGAAAAGTATGCCGATAACAATATAGTACAAGAACAAGCACAAAAAGGAACGAACTCACCGGGTTTATCTACGTGTGAATTGATGATGTAGTTCGTGGTTGGGCTCACCAGTTTAGAGGGCTGCAGGTATCGACGTTCGCGAGTTGTACGGATTATACTAACGCAAGATCTTATACCAACAACCTCTATAGTGTTCGTTCTTCGAGTACCAAATGGTAAAGCAAAAGACCAGATTTTGTCGTCCAAAGTACGTATTATATTTCGGGACAAAATCGCGGGTAGAGGTGAATGCTTAGCTAGCTAGTAATCGTGCACGCACGTGACACGACGAAGCACCAAATGGCGGGGATGCTTGACCGTAAGCCTTCAGCTAAACAAGTCGACTTAAACAGTGATGGTCAGCATCCAATGTTGAGTGATGATTGCTGTGGTTAATAATTTTGGGGAATTATTTACCGCTACATCACCAATCATAGACTATAAATTGTTAATATAGTTTGATACAACTATTTTTGTCCATGTAAAACCTTACAAACTTCCACCAACGTCTAACCAAAAAGCAGAAAAATAAATGGATATGAAATAGTCTTGACTTCATGGTGTATAATTCCTGATTGAGATTGTAGTGATACATAATTCCCAAAATTATTAGCCCATAGCATGAATCGCTCAACATCGGATGCTGACCCTCACTGTTCAAGTCGATTCGATTGGCTGAAGGCTCGCAGTCAAAAATCTGCACCTTTTGGCACGCTCTTGTATTGCGTTTTTCCGTTTGACTATGATCCCTCGCTAGTCAAGCAATCATCCTCGCACTATCATTTTGGTGTTTTCGTTTGCCTTTGGTCTACTGAGAACAAATACTGCAGGAGTTTACAGGCTGACGGTATTGACGTTCGCGAATTGTACGGAGTATACTAACGCAAGATCTTATACCAACAACTTCTATAGTGTTCGCTCTTCGAGTACCAAAGATAAAGCAAAAGACCAGATTTAGTTGTCCAAAGTACGTATTATATTTCGGGACCGAATTGCGGGTTGAAGTGAATGCTTAGCTGGCTAGTAATCGTGCATGCACGTGACACGACGGAGTACCAAATGGCGGGGATGCTTGACTGGAAGCCTTCAGCTAAACAAGTCGACTTAAACAGTGATGGTCAGCATCCGATGTTCAGTGATGGTTGCTGTGGTCAATAATTTTGGGGAATTATTTACCGCTACAGGAGTTATGGGTATAAGAAGTTGCGTTAGTATACATCGTACTTTTCGTAAACGTCAACACTCCCTGATCCCCTAGAAGACTATCTCGGCCAACAGGTACTCAAAACAGATACACTAACAGTAACCAAAGTAAAACGCCTAAGGAACGAAAATAAATTGTGAGTGCGTACTGATGAAGCGTCTCAAACTAGGCTGACTAAACAGCTGTCCAATACTCCTACGTTTTCCAATGGTTCTCTAACCGATGTCAGCTCATGATGAAGTACTCCAACCAATCAAACAAAACTTCCCTACAAAACCAATACTTGAAAATTAATCTAAGACTCACTAGTGACTGGCTCTATTCAGGCAGTTAACCTGGGGTTCTAGTGGGAATCAGTGACCAGTAGGGTGCAGCAGGTTGAAAGTGAGGCAGTAACTCATAGAAGAAGACATTGTGAAGTGGTCGCGCTATATCAGGAATTGGCAGAAGCTGGAATTCATGGGCTGGCTATTGGATCGGGTCCTAGTGGCTTAATGGTCTACGAGCTAGCTCGCCTTGTAATCAGAAGTTCGTAGGTTCGAACCCCGTTCTGTGGGTGAGTACTGCTGAAGAGTTGCAAACTAGTATGAATAGGAATAAACAAAATCGATTTCAGTGGAGGTATATTGTGTTGGCAGGGTAATGATGTAGTTATTACAGCATCACGATGTTATCCTCTAATAAATTTGCGCTGAGAAAATTTCATATCAGAAGCAATTATTGAGACAAACAGGAATAAAAATGTAAGTATCGACTTCATCAAATCAAGATTTTTGCTTGTTTAGCTAACTACGAATCATAAACTAACAAGTGAATATAAGTCAGCAGTGTGTCAAATGGTGAGGTTCCTGGTCGACTGCCTTCATCTTAATGAGTTCACTAAAAGATCAACGGTCATTACCAGATGTCAACTCATCTCCACACTATTGATTTTATGGAATTATTTACCATTGTAAGCTTCAATATAGACAAGTGGAGTACACAACCAATCATCAGCGCTGTGAAATACCACTAACCCTACTGAAATCGTTTGAGATAAATCACTTTAGCTTGTAGAAGAATCTTGAGATATTTTTAGCTCTCAAAAATGTTTCCGTTTGGAAACAAAATCAACACCGGCTCTGTATCTTAAGTTTCTGTATAAACGAATGCTGGTTACTAAAAAAGAGTTTAAGTCTACTAGCCAGTTTTCGGGTCTGTCCCACTCAAATTCTGTAAGATACGAGTGTTAAGAGTAAAACAATTAAGGGGATAACGGGTTTTCAGCCACTACCTCTATCGTATAATTGTTCTAGTGTTACGAAACCAGACAGTAAGTAAAACTGGAACCGGACGAATAGTGTTAACTAAATAAGTTACGTTTTTAAGTTCACTATTATTCTTCGATTAAAATGGTTAGAACATATTTACTGCATAATTCAAAGCCTCTACCCTCCTCGATGAGTAGTGTTTGATGAGATGGGATCAGATTGTATTAAATCTCATGGTGATTACAACACAACATGTAACTAAACAATCAAATCCATGACAGTACATAAAATTATAGGCTGAGTAAGAAAGGTACCTCTGGTGAGGAAAGTCAGTGAATAAATAATCTTACTTTTGAGGCATCAAATTAATCACAGTGATACCATTTCATCCACTACTTATGAGTAATGTCGAAATTTTGAACGTTTTTTCTGAACTAAAGTACCACTTAAGTATTATTTTAAACAAATCTGTTTACTATTACGATATTTTACTGTGTACAACAACCTGCAGTGTACGTAAGTAGTTCAGCATTAGAATGCTCGCCATCCAAGCGTCACATGGTCCAGAGTTGACTCCCTACCCGACGCACTCCTTAACGTCATTCAACCGTTAGTAAGCCAAGTAAAGAGGGAAGGTTGGGCACAAGACTAGCAACCCTACGCCATAAAAAAATAAACACCACTTCTACTGGAACTTCAAAGCTCATGCCTGAAGCCTTATGTCCTACTCGGAACTCAAAAGAATAAACTAAAAGAAAAAATAATAACAACTCACAGTAATGCGGATAACTCGCCTATATTTACTTATCAAAGTACTATCTTATAAAAACGGCAGCTAAATATATACGTATGAAGAGGATAATATATATATTCCTACTAATGGTATCCCATAAAGTGTTATACATGTCCCTGATAGAAAAAAACCCCAGTGAAATTTAGCAACAGTCAAATTTTAGCCTAATTTCTTCCAAAACAAATTAACTGAACTTTTAACTTCGTTTTTCTAAATAACATTTTAAGTAGTAAAGATAATGACCATAATAATAATAAAAATAGTTTAGAGGCTGAGGGTGTTGACGTTCACGGATAGTACAAAGTATACTAACTCATGATCTAATAAAAACAACTTCTCCAGTATTCTTTCCTCGTAGAACAAAGGCAAAGCAAAACACCACAATTGATCGTCCAAATTACGAATTACATTTCGGAACCAAATCGGAGTGCGAGATGATTGCTTAACTAGCTAGGGATCGTGCACGAACGATCGGACGAACGTAACACGACGGCGCGCCAACTGGTGTGGATGCTTGACCGTAAGCCTTCAGCTAAACAAGTTGACTTAAACAGTGAGGGTCAGTATCCAATGTTGAGTGATGAATGTTGTGGCTAATAATTCTGGGGGGAATTACCTACCGCTGCAATAATAACACGTATAATGTAGGTTAAAAACAAATTATATTAATAGAGAGAGAGAGAGTTTACAGTTAACTGATTCATTTCCTTCACATGATCTCGATCAGAAATTGCTGAGGTCTTCGTCTTTGTCTTCCCCACTGCCATTATCAGTATCTTCATCATCATCATCGTCATCATCATTCTTTTTAGAGTTTCTGTCTAACGGCTTACGACCTCCAAACCCGCTGTAGTCATCAGAATCACTTTTGAATCCGTCATCACCAAAACCGAAATAATCATCACCTTTATACCTTTTATTTGGTTTGTACTTTTCATAATCCGAGCCATGTCCTCCATATTCATCAGGATGATGGTCATAATTATCAGGTTTATGTGGTTTACGCCTTCGGATATGAGGAACATCATGGCCGTAATCATCATTATTTCCGTACTTGTAATCCCCACCGTGATGATCCTTACCATGGTAGCTGTCAGCATAGTTATCACGTGAATTATATTTATCCCCACGACTGCGTACATCATCATAACCATTATACTTTGAATGTTTATCAGGACCTTTCAAATCGTGAAATTCGGAGAAATCACCTCTATGTGCAGCACAATAGACACCTATCAACAGAAGGTAAACTGTTGTTAAAGTTAGTAGATTCATTTTTCTCTCATATAATGATGATGATAATAATAATAATTTCCACAAGAAATTCGACTTAAAAACATCATCATTTAACATATATAACTTTCAGAAAGAGAGAGAGTGAGAAGGGGGAGGAGAAGGCGATTAAGTTCATCGTCACTTTTTATCCGAGTGCATTTTTAACTATTGCTATTATTATTATTATCATCTCGTTGTACTGAGTACATATTTTTTCCTTGTATAACACTAAATACTCAGCTAATTAATTGATTTGTAGCATAAACTGTTGAGAAATACTCTCATCTCGTGATATTTCTTCGCCGTCTAACAAAAATAGCAAGTGCAAATTGATAAACAGTCATGTAATCAAATAAATTATAATTAAACAGTTCAATAGTTTACACACAACGATAAGTTTGTTTTTGTTTTTTGGTAATATGTCGAGCAAAATTACTGCCCCGTGATTACACTAATTGTTGGTATTTTGCTCGAAATATTACCGAAACAAAAAACTTACCATTGTGTACAAACTATTGCGATATATTATTATTATTCCCTTGGGTTCTGAGTGGAACGTCGGGTTTCAACAACACATCTGCATTTCGTCCTATTTTCTGTTGTTCTCTTTAGCTGCGTCCACGATTGACAATTTCCTCTCCGTACGATCTCCTCCATGTCATCATAGGTCGACCCCCTCGTCGCTTCCCATTTGGATTCCACTGGAGGGCCTGGTACGCGATAGATATAATTATAATTTATTTGATCTATTCCACAATGCCCAAACTTTTACTGACATCAACTCATGTAATCAATAATAAAATTCGGATGACTTGAAAATCCTCATAATTTATTCAGAACAAGAGTAATTAGAGCGTAATGCTTCTCAAACTTGTCATTATATTTATTATTATTATTATATATTATATTATTGTATCCTTTAATTCCTAGAGGAACATAGGGCTTCAGCCGTGCGTCTCCATTGCGTTCGGTTCTCTGCTAGAGTCTTCACCTGGCTCCATGTCTGCCCACACGTTTTCGTCTCTTCTTCACATGACCTCCTCCAAGTCACCCTTGGACGACCAACTCGCCGCTTCCCTTTCGGCGATGAGATAAAAAAACCCAGCGAAATTTATCAACAGTCAAATTTTAGCCTAACTTCTTCCAAAACAAATTAAGTGAACTTTTAACTTCTTTTTTCTAAATAACATAGATAATAACTATAATAATAATAATAATAATAATAATAATAAAAGTTTAGAGGCTGAGTGTGTTGATGTCCACGGATAGTATGAAGTATACTAACGCAAGATCTACAAAAAACAACTTCTATAGTATTCTTTCCTCGTGAACCAAATATCTCATTTCCCTTTCATTATATTTACACAATCCTATTCATTCAACTTCCCTAAATTCCTTATTACCTGATAATCGTTCACTAATAGTATTTTTAAGTTTAAACCATATCATAGTTATTATTTCGCAATCATTATTGTTGTTATTTGTCACCCTTGAACTTATGTCTAGTCTATCCCATTCATTGGTTTGTAGCGATAAGTGATTCCCCCAGAATTATTAGCCATAGCATTCATCCACGAACATTGGATGCTGAATCTCACTGTTTAAGTCAGCTTGTTTAGCTGAAAGCTTCCGGTCAAGCATCCAAGCCAGTTGGCACGCCATCGTGTTACGTCCGTTCGTTCTTTCGTTCACGATCTCCAGCTAGTTAAGCAATCATCTCGCACTCCGATTTAGTTCCGAAATGTAATTCGTAATTTGGACGATCAATTGTGGTGTTTTGCTTTGCCTTTGGTATACGCGGAAAGAATACTACGGAATTTTTGGGGGTATTGGATTTTGCGTTAGTATACTTCGTACTATCTGTGAACGTCAACACCCTCAGCCTCTAAAGGTTTGTTTCTCAGTAGTATTCATTCTGTCGCATATACAAGTGACTACACTCACCCTTGAAACCTGTACTGATAAGTAAATCTTGACTAAGAATATTCTTTCCAATAATTTCTCATCAGGTTCTTACAATTATAAAACATAATATTTGTTATCGTTAGAGTAATGACCAATTATGTAGCGGACAAAATAAGTAGTATTTGTGTGATAAACGTGCTGGGCTGAATCCAATTACTAACTACTGTGAAATGAGAGGCGATGGTGATGATTAGTTAAAATAGATTCATACATTGTGGGGAAGGAAAACTGACAAGTCTATAAAAATAAAATGCTTGGAATGTAATGCTATATGTATTGGACAAAGCTCGCGAGAAATCAAGGTAATCTGAAGAAATGAACACCGTAGAGCATCTGTTCAACCACTGAAAAATCCGGTTGAACTAGAAAAGCTTGAAAAATCGTCAGCCATAGGTCTACACGATATAGAATCAAGTCACAAAATTGCTTTTGACAATAATGAAATAATCCAGAAAAGCATTTCAGAAATCACAAAGAACGTCTAATATCATCAGAAGCACTTCATATCAAATGGAATCCAAATTGTCTGAATAGGAATGATGATGGACTAAAACAGAATTTGACCTGGTTACACCCGCTTCCCCCATGAAATGACAAAATCAACACGAATATGATGAGTAATTTCATTATGTAAACACACACTGCTTTTACAATTTTACACACTTATCAAATCCAACAATCTACACCTGGTTTTGTTATCTTTACCTATTGGTCAACTTGACAACTTCAAAAATGACCCCATGATGAGGAACGACGATTAAGTTGTTATATATAAGCTGAGATTTTGTAAATTCTGGTTTAATAATACTTTGATAAAGCTATTAGCATTAAATAGCGAAACGTCAAGAAAAACAATATTGTTTTGGTTTTCATTCATTGGGAAATACAAACACTTTTATTATAATGAACTACGGTGAAAAGTTCATCATGAAATAACGAATATGTGAAATGAAACTGAAATAAAAATTGTAAGAATCGGATGAGAAATTATTGAAAAGAATGTCAACTAGCATGAAACCTAGGTCAGGTGAGGCTTCCTGCCAGTTGCCTCCAACCATCTAATATGAACAATTCAAAGTGCACTGTGATCGCGAGTCACCTAGAATGGTGGCCACACTGCAAACTTGACTGATAGAATTCAGTCTGCACCAAACAAAAGACTAGACACATTACACTAGTTACTGACTAGTGTCCAGTCAAAAGAGTGTCTTTCGTTCAGATTGAATTTTAATTCATGATATGGGAGTATTTCACACCATTAAATCACATATATATGTGCGTCGGTGGCACAGTGGTTAGGACTCTCGCCGACCATGCACATGGTCCGGGGTTCGATCCCCTGCCGGCGCACACCCGATATCTATGGTCGGCCTGAATTTGGGCTACCGATATCCATGCTGAAAATTCCACACTTGTACTGAAAATACGGTGTGGAATCAAGCTGTAAATCAAAATAAAAAATAAATATGTCATTAAATTATTTCATCCCATTTTATCTCATGTTCTCACTGAGCATGCATATTAAAAAACTAACTGACTATAGTTCCATCCCATCTTATACTTGTTTCACAATACACTTTCTGATATGATTCTAATTTGCCTTTACTGGCTGGCTATTATATTCTGAAATTCAATGGATTTATAATTGTAGAACCTGAACAGGAATTTACCGAAAATAATAACAGTTCGCTTTAATTATTTTTGTTCTGAAAAATGAGAGTGAAGCTAATGAATACCCTTTAAAAATGTAATGATATTCAGCCTGCAATAAATTACTGTACTATCAAGAAAGTAGGAAATGATAGTATTCAATTCCTAGACGTCCTGGTGACTGTGGAAACAGGTACAATAATTGTGAAGGAGTATATTTGGCGAAACTCTACACGAACAAGTCAGTATACTTGCATTCTTTTTGAGTTTTATACCTTTGAAAAATGAAACCAATTTAGTGAAGCTTTTTGGTTCATACAGCTAGAATAATCTACTCTAACGACCGTTTTAATGAGGAGCTCAAGATTATCAGAAAATCCCAGAGAAGGAAATGGTTGTCCAGAAAGGCTTTTGGATGCAGTAGAAAAGGCATTCAGTGAAGTGGAGGTACACACTCTCTCTCTGTCTGTCTTCAGAACCACTCCACTTTTACGTTCAGGAAATAAGGATAAACTACCCTTAATTTCGCCTCCTCAATATGTATCTTCAGGCTTGATGGCTACTCTGGAACTAGTTGCACTGGGTGCATAATTGTACATATTTATTGTCACAGAGCAACCTGCATGATATTAGGTAGTTGGAGGCAATCGACAGGAAGCCCCGACTGACCTAGGTTTCGTGCTAGTTGGTACTCACCAGTCACCAAGGAGTATCTGCAACCTTCAAGGAACTCATGTCTCTTCTCAGACTCGAACCCGCGTCACCCAGTGAGTACTGTAGTCTGAGACGTTACCACTGAGCTATTTGGGCTCGCGATTGACTTCCTGTAGGACTGTATTGCATATTTCTATTGGACACTAGTAACTAGTGTGGTGTGTCTGGCTAGTCCTTTGTTTAGTGCAGACTGAATTCTATCAGTCAATTTTGCAGTGTGTTCACCATTCTAAGTAGCCCGCCATCAAGGTGCACAAGGCTTCCTGTCGATTGCCTCCGACAATCTCATGATATATTATTGAATTATAATAGTCATCAGCGGTTATTTAACGAATTATTTTCAGGAAACTTTCAATAAATTAAAGAAATTTACCAGTAATATATATAAATATTTAAATTTAGTAATTATAGTGGATTACCTTAAGGGTTAATTAATGAAGATAAAACTTCTACCGCGACCTTATCATTTATTATCGTTTTTCTGAAAGAATTCAAGAGGGGAGAAACAGCGTGATGCTTTATATACTGACAACATTCATTTTGATCGATAGAAGACTTTACACAGTCCTCTTCAACTGTTGTCGTTACTTACACTAAATGTCCTTATCCATCAGAAGAAAGATGGATTTCGTAGGAATTCGATGTGTCAGAGGCTGACCATAAGGCAGGTCCAAGTTCGATCCCAGGCTTAAGAGGTTCAAATCCCTCCCTGTCTTACTACCTATCAGCAAGATCGGATGCAACGGAAG